CTAACCCTGCAGAATTACTACCTGTGGTAGGGCTGTGTGCCACTTTGGTGTCACCTGCTGGAGCAAATTGGGAGAGGTGGCAAATGGCCATCCAGGCCCCCTTCCCCTGATTGGATGTTGCTAATTCGTTACAGAACTCTTTCCTGAGTTCAGCCTGAAAAGTCTGCCCCTGCTTCTGGCTGTCACAGCCTGCCCATTCGAGGTGATAGGGGACCACTAACTACCTAACCATGCCATGGAAAATTTGCTTTTTCCAAATGCTTGTTTTATTTGGGTATTCCTTTGGAAGATACTTAAGTTAGAAAGGCTTAACTTTGTCTCATAAGGAATCTATCTTAGTAGGATACAAGGCTTAGAGATCTCTTTGGGGACTGGAGAGAAGGCTGTCAGTGAATCATATACAGGAAGACTTTAGTTCGATCCCTGGTACCCACTTAAAAATCTGGGCCTGGCTTTGCATACTTGTGATGGGGACAGGGAGATAGGCAGATGTCTGGGACCCTCTGGACAGCCAGCCTTGTCCAGTCAGGGAGCCCGGGATGTAGTGATGGGCTCTGTCTTGAAAAATAAGATAGGTGGCACCTGAGGTGGACCACAAGCCTCTCCCTACACACATGCATATACATACACATGTGTACTGACATGTACTGCTCATCTGCACACACATGCCACACACACACACACACACACACACACACACACACACACACACACACAGTCTTGTGAGGTACACACCCTGATCAGGGTGACAGATAGCAGGCAGACAGACATTTCTGTGTAGTACGGAGCAGAAGACTGTCTGGAGAACAAGTTTCCCAGGCAGAGATGGCCTGTTATAAAAGTCGTTTTTTTTTTAATTGCCTCACAGAAGGCTGAAACAACAAAGGCTTTTCACCCTGCTTTGCAGAGTTTAAGGCAGGTGGGCGAACTTTCTGGAAACCACAGGAGAATTCCAACACTTTAGGAGATGTGCTTTGGCGAGGTACATTCTCCCATGGGGCCTGCCATGGAACCAGGGTGAAAGGATGCTGTGTTGGGCTAAGGATCTGTACATGTGGCTAGTGATGGAGGAACTCGCATTAGAGGCCTGGCTGGCATTGAAGTCTGGACTCTCCTCCCTGCACCAGGTACCCAGGGCTGCGTATGGAGTTGCTGCCAACTGTCTTGCTCACTGCTTGCTGAAGTCCATCGGATGTCAGAAACAGAACTGGCATTTGCAACTGTCTGTCTCTCCCTTATTTCTTCACCCAGCTGCTTGAGTTATCCTGAATGTAGCCTTGGACTTGGGCTCCTTGACTTGGCTGTGCATTGACTGCTTGTCTCATCTGCCTGCTGAAGCCTTACTCAGTGATTCAGGGTTTGTGGTGCTCTCTGGGGACACTGTCCCTTCCCCCCTCTGCAGGTCTGTCTCCTCTGGGTCCTCATGACAGTCAATTTTAGCACCCCTTGCCTTTGTCAGGGCAGATAGCTGGGCTCTTTCTCTGAAGGCTGTCAATCCTTGGAGTCAGGAGGGAGGTGGACTCATCAGTCCCTGGGGCCAAGGTTCTGTGGACAGAGTTGGGAGCTTGGCCAGGGAGAGCTGAATTCACTTGATCCCTTCATGCCTGGGATGAATCTGGGCCACTGGGAGTTCAACTTAGGGACCTCACTGTCTTAACTTGTTTGAGAAACCTTGGCTTGCCATAGAATAAAATCCATCAAGACACCCACACACACACACACACACACACACACACACACACACACACACACAGCAGAGAGAGAGAGAGAGAGAGAGAGAGAGAGAGAGAGAGAGAGAGAGAGAGAGAGAGAGAGAGAGAGAGATCGATCATGATGACTTGGCCTGCTGGCTCCTTAATTCCTGGGATAGGAGGTGGGTGGGTGGGGTGGGGGAGGGAGGAGTCTGAGAACATGCTGGCCTGTGTGGTAGTTTTGGTTTTTGAAGCATAGGTGTTTTGGTTTACATGTTGTTACCCTTAGTGCTGCTAGACCCAGGGTCTCTGCAGTGAAGACCACATGGCACCTGTCAGTCCACCTGGTCCCATCACATGACACGTCCTTGCCATGCTGTGACACCTTTGGCATGGGCTCTGTTGCCATCTTTCCTGCCTGTATTTCCAGACACTTGTGGCTCACTGACCAGAAGCTGCTGTGTCCTCCAGGCTGGCTCTGGTTTTTGTTTTTCTTTTGTTTTTTTTTTGAGACAGGGTTTTTCTGTAACTTTTGGAGGCTGTCCTGATAATCATTCTGTAGACCAGGCTGGCCTCAAACTCACAGGGATTAAAGGCATGCACCACACTGCTCAGCTCTGGTTCTGGTTCTGAGGACAGGTTAAATCTGATTGGACTCGTTTTTATTGTTATGTACACTCAGTAATTGAAGATGAGTTTTGAGAAGCATCACGAGGCCAGTTGAATCTATTTGGTAGCAACACGACTAATGAACACTGTACTGGGCTCCATGAAACTCAGAAAGTGCCATGTCAGCATGCTTCTGTTTGAAACGTTATTAGTGAATAGAACATCTGTGTTACGGGACTGCAGTATGCTAGCAGACAGAACAGTTTTGTTACTTCACTTTGTTAGCTGGGAAATAACCCTTATGGCTGTAGAATGCCTCTGCAAGTTCTAGTAGCTGCCACTTTGGAAATTAATTGCATTGAATAAGTAGAGGTGAATGTCAGGCATTTAATTGTTTCTTCTCTCCCAGTCTGCTGCATGAATTTTACAACCATTGTCAGTGGTGAGAATTCACCACAATCGGAACCTGTCAGGCTGGCATAGAGGCTGTTGGTTTTTGGAGGGGAAAGGAGCAGGTTGTGAGACTGTCTTGAATGTCTGGCTTGTGCCTTGTAGCCTGGTCCTCCAGGATCTCTACTAACACGTCTCAAATAGCAGCATAGGGTGGGAGGGAGTGATGGCTGATGCTGAGGGGTCCACAATGTTTGTTTTACGTTGCAAACCTTATGTTAAATGTTCAAGTGACTGGTTTTTGATTCTTTTGTCCCCCAAGTCCTTGTTTAGAAAGGGTTGACAGGAGAGATGCATTTAAAATTTCTGTGGTTTTCCAAACCCTTGGGATCTGGTACCTGATTTAAAAAGTAGTGAAAAAAGTATTAAAAAGACATAAAAGATTGCAGAAACCAAGCAAAGGAACTTTTGTATGTGAAATGAGAGCAAAGAGACAGAAGCCAGGGTGGGGTTTGCCTTTTGAAAAGTAGGATTGGACTGGTAAGGAGACAGGGATGGGCCCAGGCGAGGGCCTCCCTCAGTTACCTGAGGCAGGAGGATGAATAGAGATGGAGCAGGAAGACATGGAGTAATCAACTCATTGATTGACAGGCAGGGAGCTATATGCTGCCGGCCAACCTTATCCTGGGTGTTTCAAACCCAGTCCACCTGGCAGTTAACTAGACACTGGGGCGATGTCTTCGGACAACTCTGGTGAGGAATCTGGGGCATTGTGAATATGTGTCTACATCTAGACTTGGTTCAAAGGATGTTGGGTAAATCAGCAAGGTGGTGGCACCATTGGGGTGTGGCAAGGTAAGAGTGAGGTTGGAGGAAACCCCACCCCGTCCCCAGTCTTCGCTCCAGGGCTTTCTCCAAAGACAGCCCCTCCCCACGTGCTCCACCACATGGTGAAGCCCATCCTGCGTCTGCGGTCTTTTCCTGGGTGTGGTCCAGAGTCCAGGGTAGACCCTCACTCTACTCTTCCTATCCAGTTGTCTTCAAGCCAGCCTCCCTCTCAGAGCTGCAGTGTCTTCAGAACGATGCTGCTAATCGTTTCATTATGGGGCTGGAGGAAATTCCTGTGAAGGCGGGCCATGCTGAGCCTAGTGCCAAGGCATTGCTCAACACACAGGAAGCAGTTCTCTCACTCAGAGCCCACAGATAACATCTGATCTGTCGGTGTGTGCAGAGTAAAGACTTGTGTGCCGATCATTGGACAGTTTTAAAAAGATGAATTATTTTTAAACTTACATGTATGAGTGTTCTCTGTGCCTGGATTCTGCAGAGGTCAGAATAGAGCATCGGAGTCTCTGGAACGGGGGTTGTGGATGCTGTGAGCCACAATGTGGGTGCTGTGATTCCTGAACCTAGGTCCTCTTCAAGAGCAGTGCGTGCTTTTTTTGGTTTGTTTGTTTGTTTTGTTTTTAGAGACAGGGTTTCTCTGTGTAACAGCCACGATTGTACTGGATCTAGCTCTGTAGACCAGGCTGGCCTGGAACTCAGAGATCCACCTACATCTACCTCCTGACTAAAGGCGTGCACTACCATACCTAGCCAGTGGGTGCTTAATATTGAGTTATCTTTTTAACCCCAAATGATTGGACTTTGATATAATACTTAATAAGAAAAATTTTTTATATAAGACAGAGTTCCATGTAGCCCAGGCTGGCCTTAAACTTGTATCTAGCTGAGGGTGGCCTTGCACTTCTGACGCTCCTGCTCCCTATGCCCCCACCTTTGTCTCTCCCCTGTCCTTGGCAGGTATGTGCACCATGGAAGTCCCCACCCTGTTTATGTGGTGGTGAGGGTTGAACCCAGGGCCTCATGCACGTTAGGCAAGCATCCTACCAGCTGAGCTATAGCCCCAAACCTAAAGAAAAAATGTAATTCTTATCTCATCAAGTGCTTCAGTATTGGTTTGTGTTTTGTTTTGTTCAATGGCATTGGGATCTTTCTTTTTCTGAGCCACAGACAGGCCACCCGTGAACTGCCTGTCTCATCCCTCTCAGGTGACTCTTCTGATTTGTGCTCTTGCAGAATGCTGCAAACCCGACCCCAGGCTGGGGAGGTAGCTTCCTGGTAAAGCACTTGCATAGTACATGCAAGGTCCTGGGTTCTATCCACAGCATCATAAAACAACCCTAACGATAAAAATGTCACCTGATTCACCCACAAAGCACTCAACTTGTTGGCCCACGCTGCTGAAAGTGCCCCCACCCCTGTGAGTTTGTTGCACGACTCATGCCTTTCTCTTGGTTTTTCCTTCAGTTGTGGCTGTGTACTTAAAGGAGTCCTGGTGGTTCACTGAAGACATCCTAAGAACTTCTGATCCCACAAGGGACGGACTCAGGAAGGTGAGGGAATATGATTTCTTTAAATAATTTTTTATTTACATTAAAGATAATCTTATTTTATATACCAATCCCAGTTCCTTCTCCCTCTTATCCTTCCACTCCCCCCACCATCTCCCCATTCTACCCCCCAATCCACTCCTCAGAGAGGGTGAAACTTCCCTTGGGGGAATCATTGAAGTTTGTCACATCATTTGGGGCAGGACCAAGGTCCTCCCTGCTGTATCTAGGCTGAGAGAGTATCCCTCCGTAGGGAATGGGTATCCCTAGTGCATGAACGGGCTTTTTGGAGCCCATTCCCTATGGAAAGGATATGATTTGAAGTGAACATTTGCAAACAGGTTTCCCAGGTCTTTTTTACAGGGGCCGTGTTAATAAATTAAGGCTGGATAGCATACGCTTTTATCAGGGAGTCACTTTTGAATCCCCAACTGCCTGGAGAATGGGTTCCTCTAAGTCCACGATGTCTGTCTGTGTATTCATTCAGTGAGCTGCCCTGGGGTACCAAGTCTGGGATGCTTCCACAGCAAACTTTTCTTTGTCTCTGGATTCTGAAGGCTGGAGGTCTGAAGTCAGGGACTATTTCTTTTGAGGGCTCAGGGGGTCTGTTGTTGGCTCTATCCCCATTTCTGGTTGCTCTAGCAGTTCTTTGGCCTGAAGATGGCTCTGTTCATGTTTTTGTTTTCTTTGGAAGCATTGTCAGCTGTGTTGAGAGTCCTCCTTTTGATAAGGACATCATTTGTGTTGGATTTTGGGATTGATGTACCATCATGGCCCGATCACCTATAAAACCCGTTCTGAAAAAGTTCCCATTCACGGATGCTGATGGGGATTTCAACATCTTTTTGGGTCACACCCTTCAATGCCAGCCAGCATCCTGCCAGCAAGGAAAACAGGAACACGAGATCGTTCACCAAACACCTGACTACTGTTCAATATCTGTTTTACCATCTCGAGGGCCCCTTGAGCCTCAGTTTGTAAACTTTAATCTGTCCCATTTCTCTCCTGTGTTGAAAAGGTTTTCTGTTGAGTACATTCAGGTCATGGCTATCGATAGAAGATTTAGAAATGGATTGGTCTGCCCTGCATACTTGTTATCCCAGCTTCTTTGAGGGGGCTGGTCTAGTTTCAGAGTCTTCGAGCTCTGTGTTGTGTCGTTGGAGGCACAGGCTTGAGTTAGGTAGCGAGTGAGGGATTTAGTTGGGTGTAAACTTTGGTGCCTCCAATGTCAGACCTAGCGCCTTTGAAGTCCTGTGGCTGTGGCGTAGTAGAGCCGGGGATGGTTGAGTGTAAAGCCAGCAGCTTCTTAGAGTGTCAGAGGGTAGCTGAACTTCAGGTGGAGTGGAGCTGAGGAGGGGGTAGGCATCAGAGAGAGCTGACTGTGTGTCCCATGACTGCCTGCTCGTTTGGCTGCCAGATTTATTTAATTATGTAGGTGAGATAGAGATAGTGCTTCTGTACCATCTTGAAATGGTATGTCTTTCCACCATTGTTTAGAAAACCACTTGGTTTTTTCCGTGGGTTTCAGTAGGTGCTGAATTGAAATGTCAACATTTGTTGGAATTCAGTTTGGAGAATGAGTTTATAACGTAGTTCTTCTATTGAACAGCTCCTTAAACACTGAGTCCTAGGGCTGAGCAGATGGCTCAGTGAGTAAGAACCCCTGTTGGGCAAGTGTTAAGGACCCAACTGGAATCCCCAGCACCCATGTAGAAAGGCATGGCTGTGTGTAGTCTACCTGTGAGGGAGGAGACAGGTGAACCCTGAGAGCTCCCTGGGGGCCAGCTGAGACAAGATGGCCAACTTTGGCTGCAGTGAGAGACGGTCCCAAGGCAGTAAGTGTGACTGAAGAAGACACCCAAGCTCCTGTGTGGCCTCTGTATGGGTTTCCACATTCACGCACTCAAGTACACACACCACACAAGCACACCAACGCACAGACTGGAAACTGAAAATTAAGTCCTGTTTTAAGCAAGTTTCATCGACATGTGATTTGCATTCTATAAATTTACTCTAAAAATGTACAGTTCCACAATGTTTAAGAGGCTTAAGTCAACTTCTCCACAGCGTTTTCATTCTCCTAACTCTGTTTTTAGTGGAATGACAGGCCAGCATCTGGAGAGACTACATTTTATTACCCATTCAGTGGTTGATGAATATTGAGTAGTGTCCATTTCTTAGCTGTCATGAGTATTTTTTGTGACCTTTTATGAGGACGTAGACTTTGAGTCTTCCTGGGTATATACCTAGAAGCGTAACTGCTGGTCACGTGGTGTGTCTCGTGTTTTGAGGGACTGCCTGATTTCTCTGCAGTTACTGTGCCAGGTGACTTCCCCACCAGAGTGCCAGCATGCTTTAGTCTCCTAGTCCGTGGCAGCTTGCACTGTTGTCTGCTTCTTCTTTTGTTTTTTGGGTTTTTCAGGACAGGGTTTTTCTGTGTAGCTTTGGACTCTGTCCTGGAACTAGCTAGCTCATATAGACCAGGCTGGCCTCCAACTCACAGAGATTCCTCTGCCTCTGCCTCCCAAGTGCTGGGATTAAAGGCATGCGCCACCAACACCCAGCTGAAAGGATCTTTATAAATGTAATTTCAGTTTTTGTTTTTTTTAAAGGTTTATTTATTTTTTAGGTAAACAACATTCTGCCTCAATGCATGCGTGCAGGCCAGAAGAAGCCACCAGATCTCATTATAGATGGTTGTGAGCCACCATGTCATTGCTGGGAATTGAACTCAGGACCTCAGGAAGAGTAGTCAGTGCTCTTAACCTCTGAGCAATCTCTCCAGCCCTGTTGTCTGCCTCTTCAACTCTCTATCTGTGGTCATTTGAATGGGAAGTGTCCCCCCATAGGCTGGGGTATTGGGACACTTGGTCCCTAGTTAGTAGTGCTATTTAGGGAGTTAATGGAACCATTAGGAAATGGGGGAGGGATTTGGAGTTTTAGAGACTTGCCCCACATCCTGTTCTCTCTCTGCCTCGTTCTCTCTCCTTCATGTCTTTCCCATCTTGCTGAACCCTTTGCCTCTGGAACCTTAGCCAAAATAATCCTTTTGTCCTTAAGTTACTTCTGGTAATGGTGTTTTATTACAGCATATACAAGTAGCTTGTTCACCACCCTGCAGACGTGAGGTGGTACCCTACACATGTGTTGATGGGCATTCCCTGACGGCGAGGGATACTGAGCATCTTTTCTTGCCCTTGCTGACTATTTTCCTGTTCTCTCTCGGGGAGAATGCCTGTTTCGATCCTTTCTTAGCCCACTTTTTGATTGGAATATTTTAATTTTTATTGTTAAATTGTAGGCGTTTCCCCACATACTCTCTGTGCAAGCCTTTTATTACATATTTGCAATAAGAGAACTGTCACATATTTGCTATAAAAAACCTTGCATGCATGACTCTTTCCCCATTCTGTAAGTTGCCTGTTTAGAAAAAAATAGATCTGGATTCAGTAGACTCAATAGATGCTATTATAGATGTTCTGCCAAGGTCTCCTCCAGAGAATTAGTGCTTCCTTGAGAGCCAGCCAGGGGCCATGATGTAGCTGTGTGTGCCGTTGTCCCAGCCTCTTCGTCACAAGTGGACCCAGTGACTTTTGGTGCTAAGAAGACCAATTTGCTCCTTATGAAGTTCCAGAATGAGAAGACTGGTTTGCTCCTTATGAAGTTCCAGAATGAGAAGACTGGTTTGCTCCTTATGAAGTTCCAGAATGAGAGGGGCTGATTGTCTCACTTCCCATCTCTTCCAAGTTTAGATTGGGAGCTCACTCCCAATTTTCTGAGAGTGTGCTGTTGTTGTGTGTGTTTGTTTATGTTCTGAACAGAAAGAACCTAACCACATTGGGACATCTGCCCTCCATGTGCCGCACTGGGACATTCTACCCCCCCAGCCCCCAGCCATGTCCTCCCACCCTCAAGCATGAGTATTTTCTTCTGTTCTTTCTAAGACTTTGTCTTTACTTAAAAAAAATCAGGTTTTGTTTCTTAGCCACTGTTTTTCCCCACACAATACTAGAAAAATCCCCTTTAATGCTCTCACTGTTAATGCAATTAGTGGTCTCAATGATGGCTTATAAATCAGTGGGTTTTAGTTTTATGTTTTTTGGAAATACTTCTAAGTCAACATGGCGTGTCACACATTTTTTCTTCCTGTAACGGAACTGGACAAATTAAGCACACTCCCTTTTCCTCCTTTTTCTCTGTGTTTGGGTGTTTCCCTTCTGCCACCTGCCATCTGCTGCTCTACTCTGGTTCCCCTCTGCTTTCGTTGGTTGAAAAATACCGCCTCCCAGATGACACCCATTAGCTCTTGAGGCCGGCTAGTTCTTAAAGCTGAACTTCATCTGGCCGCCACCATCTGAGGTAGACAGTGAATCAGTCAGATCTACACCTGTCTTTTCCTCTTCGAAGGGCTGGCTCCGGATAAAGGTGACACACTTTACATCCTGTGCCAATGAGGAAGTTATGTGGACATTGGACAGTTTGTGCAGGACGCCAGGGCAAGCTACGTTACTATTAGTAAGCATTTTATAAGCAGACAAGTGGGCCGGTGTGATAGCTCAGTGGGAAAAAGTGCTTGCCATGAGCCTGACCGTCTAAGTTTGATTCCCCCAACCCTTGTTAAGGTGGAAGGAAAGAACTGACTCTACAGAGTTTTCCTGTGACCTCCACGTGTGTACCATGTGTCTACACATATACATCATATGCTAACATGCATGCTTGAGTGTGTGTGTGTGTTTGTGTGTGTGTGTGTGTGTGTGTGAGAGAGAGAGAGAGAGAGAGAGAGAGAGAGAGAGAGAGAGAGAGAGAGCATGTACACATACAGCAATAGCAACAGATGTGTTTTAGAGCACACTCAAGGGATCTTATCCCCTGCACTGAATCTCAAAGAAGAATAAAGGCGAGGTCTCCTAGGACTGAGAACCCACAAATACAAACGATAGTGACGATGTTGGGAGGACAGTAATTTTGGGATATATTAGACCTAAAACTAGGAGGCTGGCTATATGGCTTATTTGATTTGGTAAAGTGCTTGCCATGCAGGTGCGATGATCTGAATTCAATTCCCAGATCCTACATAAAGAAGTTGGGCATGGTGTCACATGCTTATAATCCCAGAGCCGGGGACACAGAAACAGAAGGATCCCTGAGGTTCACTGGCTAGCCAACTTAGCCTATTTGGTACATTCCAGTTTTAGTGAGAGACCCTGTCTCTAAAATTAAAGTGGACAGTACCTGAAGAATGATACCTGATATTGACCTACACCCCCACACCCCATCATATACATGCAGCCCCATATGAACAGTAACGTGCATAAATGATTAAAATTGACTGTACGGCCATGCACTGATGTTTTCAATGAATACTCCCATTCCCAGAGTCTCAGGTCTGATGGATGAGAAAGCAGAAGGTCTGGGCTTGAGCAGGTGTGCTGTTTGGGATGGAGGCGCCGTGGCCTGTGATTCCAGTCTATTTCTGAGCTAGCCCCAGCCCAGCTGTCTCAAGTAGTCTTTGGAATGAGACAGTAATATTGATGCATGCGCGCAACCTCTTTGCGCTTCAGTTTCTGCACCTGTAAGCCAGCCCCTTCCCCACCCCCCAGCAGATGAGAAGCAAGTGACAACACGTGGGCAAAGTCACAGCTTCAGGGGTGGTGTGGATCCGTGCCCACACGTGCCCACACATGCACCACAGGGCTGTCACATAGCGGAGTTGTAGGAGAAAAACCCAGCACTGTAATACAGACATTATGTGAAGAGCTGGCTGCTCTCACCGTCTGCATCAAATTATATCAGTTACCTGTGCTGCCTGGATGGATGTTTGCAGGATCAACAGATCATACCCTGGCCGTGTAGCCAGACGTGGTCAGGTAGCCATGTCTCCTATGAGTCCGGAAGAGAGACCCTGATTTCAGACACACATTTGCCCCTTCATACTCAGAATCACAGTTAGGAACATGATGCCATTTGGGCTTATGTGAGACAAGGCTTCTAACTCGGTGGGGACACCTTGGGTGACAGGGACGACTCTGCTATTATATTGCTTAGTTCAAGCTGGGCCTTGAGTCCCCAGGGTTGGGATTCCAGCACATACTTGAAATGAGTGGCTTTGCTGTGGCAATTGATCCCCTACTCCCAAGGCGAGGATGTCAGCACTGTAAAAATGGCAGATTAGGTTTATTTTAGGACACAGCCAGTCATTTCTTGGAATGGCTGACCTGGCCGCCCTGGAGGCAACGTCCTGTTCTATTACACAAAGCTGGTCACACTCTGTGACTCACAGTCCATGTCTGTGGCCCAGAGTCTTCCCTGACACTTCACTCCATACTGCCTTGTGATAAATGAGTGGTGCTGAGACCCCACAATTCACGCCTGATCAAGAGCACTCCACCACACCCGGCCCCGCCCCACCCAGCTCTGCCCCACCTGGCCCAGCCTCACCTGGCCCCCCTGCCACGAGCTCCTTTTCCTGTCTGGTCTCACTTGGTGGCAACTGTTCTTTTTTTTTTTTTCCTCATTAAGGTTCAGTCCTTCGGGGAAAGGATTGTACTTTTTGTTCTCAACACCATTATTTTTGGAAGACTGGAGAGAAATCTGGATGATGATGACATGTTTTTCTTACCTCACCCAGCGAAGGAGCAAGCTAAGATTCTGTGGAGAGGTGGAGCAGCAGTTGGATTTTACTCAATCAAAAGGAAAGGTGAGAGATTCATGTTCTCTGAGGCCAGGGTGGTGTAGGGCCCCTTGGATGTCTGTCTGTCTTGGCAGACCCCCTCAGCATAGCATTGTGTGGAGTCTTCTGGCTCAGGAAGCACAGCTAATTAAACTTTTGTGTGCCCCTATGACAGTGTGTGTGCCTGAAGCTTAATGCTTTTCCTTTTCCTCAATGTTAACAGTCAGCCATCAGCTGATGCGTGTTCAGGAAACATTCTAGATGCCAAGACTTACAGACATTATCTCAGAAGACAAGACAGGGAATTGGCCATGGAAACAAGCTTAGGTTAGACAACAGCAGCTTCCTTCTAGGACCTTGGCAAGCAGTAGGTGTTTAGCGGTTGGAATGAAGGTGTCTGTCCGTCCTTTCAGGTAGCTGCTTTCCGTAATAGTTTCTTTAGCCTTCGAAGGCTGTCACCATCTGACCCAACTGGTTTCACCATTACTGCCACTTGCTTCTTATAAAGTTATGCATTGTAAAGATTATTTAAGAAATTACATATATTTAATTTATTTGCCAGCAGTGGGGTGGGGTGACACAGGTGAGGAGGTCAGAGGACAACTTGTGGGGTCTGTTCTCTCCTCCCACCACGGGGATCAAACTCCGGCCATCAGGCTTGGCTGGGGAAAGTCTGCACAAGCTCACTGGCTAGAAAGTTACCAACTTTAGCAACAATTACATTTCCCAGAAAACCCCTGTGGACCTGCTATTTTTGGAGGTAAGTGTTGTTCTTGGGAGATAAAGAGGTTGATTTTGTTTTGAACCATGTTCACATTGTGTGTGTGTGTGTGTGTGTGTGTGTGTGTGTGTGTGTGTGTGTGTGTGTGTGTGTTCTGCTTGCCCGGGATGGAATGAAGTTCTTCCCTTGCTCCTCCCCTCTTTCTACTGTCACATGACCAGATTCTCATGCCCCGTGGATTGGTTAAATGTCTGCTGAGGTCAGCTCTGGGTACTTTGGCTCATGACTGTGTTAGTAGTTTCCCTCTTGATGGTCACTGGCCCTGTGATTATAGCATGTCTTTATGCTTTTTTCAGGTGTTACAGTCTTGGTCTATTAACTTCAGATAGACTAATGGGCCTGGAGAATAATTAAGGTGAAGTGTTTATAATTCATCTTTCCTGAGACATGTTGCTGTCTTCATAACTGTAAGAGAATCTCATGAACCCTGAATGACTGTCCCTGTAAGTCTCTAGGAGTCCTGGGTCTCCTGACATAGCCAGATCATACATAGAGTCCTGTTAGGGACTGACTGGCTAATGAAATGTTGGATTAGAGGAGCTTGTCTTTGCTGGATGAGGAACTCAGGTTGGTGAATCTCCTGAAAGCCTCAGTTATTCTGTTGACATTTCTCCCTTCTGGTCTTGGCATAAGTTAACAGATTTCTTTTTTTAAAAAAGATTCATAGAAAACTCACACAGTTGACCTGGGCTCACAGAGACTGAACCCACAACCAAGAAGAATGCATGGGATTGACTTAGGCCCTCTGCATGTGTTACAGTTGTGTAGCTTTGATGGGGGATGCCCTTCTGTATACTGTGAATATGTGTTTCTCTTGTTGATTGATGAATAAATGCTGATTGGCCAGTAGCTAGGCAGGAAGTATAGGCAGGGCTATTGGAATAGGAAGATTCTGGGAAGAGGAAAGACAGAGGGTGAGTCACCAGAGAGATGCCATGTAGCTGCCAAAAGGAGTAACATGCCAGAACATTACGGGTAAGCCATAGCCACGTGGCAATACATAATTTAATAGAAATGGGTTAATAATTAAGAGAGAGCTAACCAATAAGAAGCCTACGGTAGCATAACCCTTGGACACCTACCTGGCTGCAGGTGGCAGCCCAGACACTGGGCATCCTTGTGACTTTTGGTGGCACGGATGTCAACACAGACCCTGGCTATGGTGGGACCACAGACCCAGACATGGTCCTTGGCAGCAGCCTAGGCCTGGACATCACCATTGCAAGCAGGCCACAGATATCAGCCTGATCCTCACTGCCTTTGCGACTTCCGTCCTGCCTCTTTCCACGGCACACGAGCCGTTCCCCTTCCCTCTCTTTCCCGTTTCTCCACCATTCGTTTGCTCATCATAACAGCACCCACAGCCCCACGGATGTCTTCCCACCCGTCCAAGCCTCAAGGACCCAGGCTGGCCTGTGGGTGGCTTCCACCCCCCTGAGCAGTATCGTTATATGATATTCTTCGGTGTCCTTGAATTTTATTGAATTGTTGTATCTGTTTATCAGAGAAATTAACTTGTAGTTTTCTTCTTTTGTCATGTCCTTATCTTGTTTTGGCATTAGATCAGTGGTTCTCAACCTTCCTATTGCTGTGACCCTTTAATACAAGTTCCTCATGGTGGGGTAACTCCCATAACATTATTTTCATTGCTACTTCATAACTAATTTTGCAACTGTTATGAATATGTAAATATCTGATGTGCAGGATATCCGATACATGACCCTTGTGAAAGAGTCAACCAAACCCTCCAAAGGGGTCGAGACCCACAGGTTGAGAACCACTGCATTTCTTCTTTATCTTTAAAAAAAGATTTATTTTATGCATGTGAGCGTTTACATGCATAAATGTAAAGCACTACGCATGCATGCACGCATGCGTGGTGCCCATGGAAATCAGAAGATGGCATCTGATCTTGAACTGGAGTATTGTGAGCCACAACATGGGTGCTGGGAACCGAACTCAGACCCTGTGATGTCCTCCTTTCCTTTCTTTTGTTTTTTGGAGTCAGGGTTTCTCTGTGTATGGAGCCTGTCTTGTAACTCACTCTGTAGACCAGACTAGCCTCAAATGCACAGAGATCTGCCTGCTTCTTCCTCTAGGGTGCCAGGATTAAAGGCGTGCGCCACCATGCCTGACCTGTGCTATCCTCTTAACCACAGAACCATCATCTCTCTTGCCTACTTCCCTTTCTGTTTTATAACCATTGTTGTCAGGCCTTCTTCAAAGGGTTGGCAGAGTTCGGCAGTGAGTTCGTCTGGTCCTGATCTTTTCTTTGTAGGTGTACTTCTTATTACTGCTTCAGTCCCATTGCTTATTAGCGCATCTGTTCAAGTTTTGATTTGCTCTTTTGATGTAAGTCTGGTAGGTCATATATGTCTAGGGATTTAACTATTTCTTCTAGGTTTTCCAGTTTTCTGGGATGTATGTTTTCAAAGTAGTCCCTAATGGTTCCCCGGTTTCACTGAAGTCTGTAGTGACCTCCCCCCTTTTCATCTCTACTTTTACTAATGTGGATCCTCTCTTTCTGTTCTGGAACTCACTCTGTAGACAGGCTGGCCTTGAACTCACAGAGATCTGCCTGCCTCTGCCTCTATGCCTGGTTTATATCTGTTAATTGATTGCACATTTCCTTCATTAATTTCATGAGTTAAACTAACTACCTTAGTTGAATATATTTGTAAAGCTGATTTAAAGCCCCCTCCACCATGAAAAAGTGTTTTTTTTTTTGTTTTTTTGTTTTTTTTTCGAGACAGGGTTTTTCTGTATTGCTTTAGAGGATGTCCTGGAACTTGCTCTATAGACCAGGCTGGCCTCAAACTCATAGAGATCCACCTTCCTCTACCTCCTGAGTGCTGGGATTAAAGGCGTGCACCATCAATACCTGGCAAAAATGTCTTTTTTAAGTCAGTTATGTTGAATAACTACTTTTCTTAAGTATGGGTCACATTTTCCAGTTTCTTTGTATGTTTAGTAATTTTTTTTTCTGTAAACCAGTCATTGAAAAATATATTGTGGAGCCTGGAGAGGTATCCTAGTGGTTAAAAGCATGTACTTTTTTTTGTAGAGGACTTGAATCCATTTCCCAGCACCTACGTCGTGTGGCTCATAGCCACCTAAAATTCAGCCCCAGGAAAATGGGATGCCTCTGGTCTCTATGGACACCTGCTTCATGTACACATACCCAAACAAAGACACATGTATGCAAACACACACAAACACACACACTTTAAAATTAATGTTAGAAAAGAAAATATATTCTACAAGTTCTCTTTGTGCTTCTTGAAGACCTGTTTCAGGGTTCATTTCAGGAGATATTTAACCTGATGAGATTCACACTGGAAACTTGGTCTCCTCTGAGTTATGCAGCTGCCAACATCTGTCTGTCTGTCTGGCTTCCTATGGCTACTGCTCTAGTCTGGACTTATCAAGTTCTCCCCCTTGCCTAGTGGTCAAAGATGTGCGACAGGGCCTGGAGAGATGGCTCAAAGGTTAAGAGCACTGATTGTTCTTCCAGAGTTCAATTCCCAGCAACCACATGGTGGCTCAAAACCATCTATAATGAGATTTGGTGCCCTCTTCTGGCATGCAGTAACACATGGAGGCATAATGTTGTACACATAATAAATCTTAAAAACAAAACTTAAAAAAAAAAGATGTTCTAAAGATGTGGCTATACTCCCCCTATGGTTTCTGAACTTTTGCTGCTTTGGAGTACTGTGCTCTGATCCTTCAAACTGAATGTGCCTCACCTTTAGTTAAGAAAAGTACCGTAAAGCTAGGCACAGTGGCTCATGCCAGCAGTCATCACACACATGAGGCTGAGGGATGCTTGCTAGAAGTTTGAGGCCAGCTTGGGCAATTTGGCAATGCAGTGTCTCAACAAAACAAACAAAACAAAACAGACCTTCTAGAAGTCCCATATGTCTCTGAAGACCAAGTGTCCGACACAGAGATTCTTGGAGGCCAGTGTCACCACATCCAGAGCACAGCATCACTAATGAATAATGGGTGGGGCTAGCCAGCTGTCATAAGGGAGTTCCAAATTTTCGAAGAGTCACTGATGGTTCTCCATCTTGGCTCATCTCTGGGGCTTGTCATGCGGTCATATAATGCTCGATTTTAAGGATGCTGACACAGCCATGATGTGCTTCTCAAACTTCTCAGGAGCACAGCTTCTCCTCATTAGTTTAGGTCCATGCGTTCAAAACCTCTTAATTTAGAGTTAGAATTTTTTTGTGTGAGCAAAATAAAACAAACTCGCTCTATGAAGAGAACCAGGGGTCTAGTTCTGACGGCTGAAGGCTGTGAAACATGATGGTGATTTAGCTTTGAGTTTTTTACTCTATGATGGTGTGATAATGACATATTTTTATTAACATATAGTAATATGTATATATTCAGTGGAGACTACACTTTGAATTTGGGTCTTTTTTTGGATGAAGTGATGTATGGTTCATTACATTACTCTCCCACCAGTACTCCAATGGAACGTGCCTACCTTGAGCTCCCTGCAAGGTTATTGTGCTGTTTGGCAAGCTAGGTGCATTGATATCTTTTCAGTTCTCTCTCTCTCTCTCTCTCTCTCTCTCTCTCTCTCTCTCTCTCTCTCTCTCTCTCTCTCTCTCTCTCTCTCTCTCTCTCTCTCACACACACACACACACACACTCACTTTTAATATAATGGGATTTACAGTCCGGCCCGTTTTAGCCCTTGTATAAGTTGCAGTAAAAATGAAACAAGCCGTGTCCCAGTTGAGCTCACCTGTCCCCGCTTAGCATCATTCCTCCAGATCCTTGTCACCCACCTCCATCCTTGTCACCCACGTCCGGCAGTCTCTGGTTAATTTCCCACCACTGTAGTTTTGTGTCGTTAAGATCCTGGGACTGGAACTGTGTATCGTTTACCTTTTTGAGACTGCGATCTTCCGTTCAGCATCCTTGAGCATCACACCTTTGAGACCTGTCTCAGCCAACACGTGTACCATAGATTGCATCTCTTTATTGCTAAGGAGCATATTCCGTTTTCCAGCAAGCGAGTGCCTTTGTGGAGAATGAGTTGGATGTTTTCAGGTGGACTTCTCTGGGAGCAGTTTGCTGATAGGCTGTTTTCATCTCTCAGTTGGTTCAATGATTCTGTAATTGGTTTTCTTACAGAATAGTGACACCAGTCATTTCACTAGTTCATGCTGGAATTTCCCCTAAATAATAAAAATGAGTGGGTTTTACTTTAACCTTTACTTTCAAACCACCGGTCCATATTATTGTTAGCATTCAAGGGAAGAAACTACTATACTGGGAAGTAGAGCATAGATCAATTTAAGACAGAACTTGTATTCTACACGTGTAAAAAGCTACAAAGAGTAAACTTGCATTCCAGATTCCTAAAAACCCAGCAAGAATGAAAGCCAAAAAATAAAACAAGAGTGGCAACTACAAATATTAAATGGGGTGATTAGGAACTTGGACAAGCATGTGACTTGGGATGGCCATAGTACTGGCCTCGCCTTAGCACTGTTTGTTGGCGGAGGCCTCCTACTTACACCTTCTCAAGGCATTCAGGGTCACAGACACCTCCTGCACTGTTGCCCTGTGAAGCAAGAGTCCCTTGTGTCAACTTGTGGTCTTTTGGGGGTCATCCCCGCCAATAAAGATTTATTGGTACACAGCCATACTCATAAGACTTCTTTTGTACTGTAACTGCAGAGTACAGGAATTGGAACTGAAACCTGATTTCCAAAGGCTGAAGTATTTTCTGTGTCACTCTTACAGAAACATTTTGTTGACCCCTGTTCTAGAGACTACATTGTAAACATTTCCTATGAAAACAAAATAATTTAGTTAAAATTGTGTTAGTGCAGTTCCTCTTCTCTCAGGCTCTTTGATTGGCAAGTGTGTCCACCTGATCTAAATCTGGTTTTTTCCAGCCATTCCTCTTCATGTTCCACAGAGCAGCCGTCATCCTTAGTGTATTTCTTCCCAGGATTTTTAGGACAAGATTTTGTGGATGATTGATACTGATCCAGTTGGCTGCCACCAACTCTACATTTGGTTTTTATGTATCTGTCGGTGCACACCAGAACTCTCTGTCCCATCCTGATTCTCAGAAACAGCAGGGCAGGGTAGCCATGGCTTTCTTCCTACTGACCTTTTTAATCTTTCTTTCCAGACAAGCCTTTTGTCTAAAGTAGATACAATTTCTTTTATTACTTTCTGGGTGTTGGCTCCTTGTCCTTTCCTGGCAGGCCACCTGTGAATTCCGGCTCAGGCATTCTGACAAGTCACACGTCTTTCTTTAAGTCAGCCCATTTCTCATTGTTACCTTTGGACATTATGGAGTCAACAGGCTGTCTGCAACAGTAATTTTCCCTTAGGTCTCAGGTCTGCCCATGCTCTTGGAAGTGAAAACTTCTGATTGTATGCAGTGCTGCATTGTGGATTATGCCTTTCCTTCACAGGAAGTTGGTGCCTGTATGATCCAGCCATCTGTGTGACCTAAATTCACTTTGTCTATTTGTTGAATCTGATGTGTTAACATTCACTGTGTGTTTTTCTTTGGTATTCAAATGATATACTCCATTTTCCCCCTCTTCTTGGCTTTTTAAAAATTCCTTGGAATGTTACACCATGTATAATTTTGGGGCAATAGTCTCTCATTTTCTTGCAGGGAGGTGTTTCTTGCAAGTTTGGGAGACTGTATCTTTAAAATCACCTGAGCCTGGTGTGTTAGGTGCAGAGGAATTTTAAACCATCGATGTAATGTTTTAATGCTTGTAGGACAACTCAGTCTTTCTCTTTCTCCTTGAGTCAGTTTTGGTAGGTTGTATTGTCTCAGAGACGATTCCTTTTTTTATTTATTTTTAGATTATTGGCATGTTCTCCTACCTTTTAAATGTTTGTGGCACCTCTAGTGATGTCAATGTAGGATATTTGACAGCAGATTTTTTTTTTCAAGACAGGGTTTCTCAGTATAGCTCTGGATGTCCTGGAACTCACTTTGTAGACCAGGCTGGCCTTGAACTCAGAGGTTTGCCTGCCTCTGTCTCCTGAGTACTGGTATTAAAGGCTTGTGCCATCACTATTTAACTAGAGCAGGGTTTTTTAGACATTACATGGCCTATTTGTGCATGACCCAAGGATGTAAGATACCAGATGCTCACCATGATCAAAGATGACTGTTGCACAAATAGAGATTAAAGATGTGTACATATGCAAAGTAGAAGCAGGCATTATTAAAAATTATAGAGGAATGAGAAAATGAGGAAGGAAAGGTGAGGAAACCCTGGAGAATGGGAGAGAGTTTCCAAAGGAGGAAAAAGCCACTGACTTCTATCATGTATGGGGTTTAGAGGGCCAGTGCAGAAACTGGACAAAGGCTGAATTATTCTCTGTTCATATTGGTTAATTCTCTGGGCTGTCACGAGCAAAGCCAAGGGAAGGCTCATACACTCCATGCTTGCACCCCGAGCCAACCCATATCAATGATTACACACTATTTATTATATACGTTCCATCCAGTTAGGGCCTATTGAAGCTCCTGGTTGCTATCTGTGTCTGTTTTGGGTTGCTAGGTATTATTGATTTTGATTGTCTGCTGGCTGTTGTCAGCAGCAGATACTGTTACTGCCTCTTCTGACCTTGCAAGGAGTCTTGCTAGGTATCATTTAGATTGTTCCTTTTTAAAATCTTTGCATTTGCATGACCAGCTGGCAGTCTTGCCATGACAAGGCATTAACCTAGCATAGCAACCAAGATGCAGCTACATTGTTCTTGGTTATGTCCTTGTTTATGGAATTGTCTAGGGTCTCTATCCCAAAGTGGAAGCAGGTTTGTTGGAAGCCTTCCTTACTTATAATTCAGCCTGTTTTGATTGGCTGCATTAGAAGCAAGGATATGTAAAAGAGCAACACTATCGAGCATGCATTCCAGGGAGGCTCATGAAAGCCAGCCAGCAGCCCCACCAACATTCCCTCGCTTCCTCTGTCTCCTGCTCCTTCCTCCTCACTTGCTTCTGTCTGTCTCTTGTCAGGTCTGATCGGCTCTCTCACTTACTGCAGGCTGTCTCTCTCCTTAGTGCTTCTGGCGTCCCTGTTCCAACCCAAACATTCTCTTTGAACCCTAATGTCTATTCCACTGTAACCTCTGTGAGAAGCTTATAGTTTTCAGGATGCACCCTTCCTTTTTTTTTTTTTTTTATACTTCTTATAGTATGGCTTCTTACTGATGGCTTCTGCATTGGTATCTCTATTTTTTTGTTTTGTTTTGCTTTTGTTTTGTTTTCCAAGACAGGGTTTCTCTGTGGCTTTGGAGCCTGTCCTGGAACTTGCTCTGTAGACCAGGCTGGCCTTGAACTCACAGAGATCTGCCTGTTTCCGCCTCCCGAGTGCTGGGGTTAAAGGTGTGTGCCACCACCGCCCAGACCAATATCTCTATTTTTAATTCCTAATATACTTTATGTATTGTCCCCCCAGTAACTTAAATAAAAAATCTGTCCTGCTGTGTCTTTGCTTTCTGTCTCATCAATTTTGTGTGTGGTGTGTGTGTGTGTGTGTGTGTGTTGTGTGTGTGTTGTGTGTGTGTGGTGTGTGTGTAAGTGGTGTGTGTGTGTGTGGTGTGTGTGGTGTGTGTGTATGTGGTGTGTGTGTGTGTGTGTGTGTTGTGTGTGTGTGTTGTGTGTGTGTGTGTGTGTTGTATGTACCTCCGCATCTGTGCAGAGGTTAGAGGAAGGGTGTTGGTCATCTTGCTTCACCACTTTCTGTATTATTCCCTTAAGGCAGGGATTCTCATTGAACCTGGAGGTAGGCTGGTGGACTGCAATGGTCTTCCTGATTTTACTGGGGGTGGACATACCTGGGTTTTTACATGACTGCTGGGGATTGGAACTCAGATCCTCATGCTTTCACACCAAGTGATCTTCCCCACAGATGTCACCCAAGCCCAGTCCTCTCCATCTTGAATGACTTCTGATCCTGTCACTTACCATGCTGTAAAATAGACTGGGAGAGACCATCGCCAGGTTCCTCCCAATATGCTCCTTAGTCTGTCTGTCCTACTATAAGCAGAGACTTAGTTTAGTGTGTAATGGCATTCTGGAAGAACTGGCTTGGCAATCGTTTTACAGAATGGATTTTACTTGACAAATTTGAAGGTATGATTAATCTTTAGAAAATCCTGGTAGAGTAACTTTGCTTGTTTTTTCTCTGCAAGTTTAATTTTTAGAGGAAGCATGGCAAGGTCAGTTCATAAAGGTCCTGTGTCCCCTCTAGATGCCTTCCTTAATACCTGTATCTTACGTAATCAGAGTATGGTGTTCAAAATGAAGAAAGCACCATTGGTCAAGTTTCCACGTTTGTGTTTTCTCTTCTGGGATCAGAGTAAGTGAACACTCACACCTCCTCTGAGCCCAGAGTTCTCCCAAGCTCCCTGTCTACTGTCACCGTTGGTTCCTTTTGCCTTTCATCATCTGGACATCTGCAGGAGGATGGCCACGCGGTCTGTAGGACATTCTCAGTTCCTGATGGTTTCTGATGACTGGACGGGTTAGGAGAAGTGGAGCATGGTATAAATGGTATAAACATTGGGGTTGGACGCCATTCACTTTCTGCCATTGTGACAGGACACCACTGACCATGCCTTGAAGGGGGAAAGGTTATTTTAGCCAGCAATGAAGCAGACTGAGGGTGGAGAGGGGATAGTGGCCAGAGTGTAGCATCATGTGATGAGGAGCTGCTCCCACTTGACAGCCTGAAAGTAGGATGAGAGAGATAAAGAGGCCAGGGACCAGATTCAGCCTTCCCGAGGACCCGTCCCATGACCTCCCTACTCCGTTCAATCCCACCTCCTAGTGTTAGCTCTTTGTGAATCAATAAGTGGGTCAACCCATTAGTTATTTCCGAGTCCTCATCATCTAGTAACCCCTCAACAGCTGGATTCACCAGCGGTGGAACAAGCTTTCCACCCCGAGCTTTATGGGAGATGCCTTCCCACACGTTTCACCATGGCGAGGTTACGGTCTTCCTTCTCACACTTAATTGTCGTGATGCTTGATCTCTAAAGGTGCTTTCTGAATTTGTCTGTGTGTGTATGCGTGCATGTGCATGGGTAGGCTGGCAGGGAGGCAGGGAGCACTTGTTTGCATGCCACAGTGGGGTGAGGAAGCCTGCCCACATTAGTTCATTGTACCTTTTTACACTGACACATG